ACTTAATGCTTCCTTAGACAGTTTCCTTGTATCTACTATGATTAAGACATTTGATCAACTTGAACTGTCCTGATATTTTTGTCTCTCACAATGAAATGATCCCGTCATGAAAGTGAGTTGATTAGCACTGAAAAAATTTTGATCAACTTTATTAATTTTTGTGGTCAACTCACGCTTCACCAAAAATCAACCATGTCAAAATTATTTTCACAAATAAAAAAGACTTAATGCTTCCTAAGACAGTTTCCTTGTATCTATTATGGTTTTGGATTCCGCATACTGTACCATTTAAAAACAACACTGTTGTACAAAGCTTATTTGTTCCTGTATAGATAGATTTAAAATCAATAAAATAATGGCCTTGTAGCTTAATAAAAAAGTTAACAAAATAAATTGGATGTAGTGTTGTATTTAGGTTGATAAATTACTTAATTTCTCACAATTTTCAAGAGCTATTTTCTTAAAGTTTTGTTTCCTAAAACTGAAAATCAGTATGGGGCTTTATTCATTTACAAAACGGTTTGAATATTCCAGGCAAAGATGGTTCAAGATCCTTTATCACAGGCAACTTCCAAGATGAGAGCAACAACAAGGATCATGTATTGGACCTCACATGCAATCAATTGTCCTCACTACAGGATTGGGAACATACTTTTAGATCAAAATATAAATATGTTGGTAGGTTTAACACATACATTTATTTAACACCTTTTGTTTCTGTTTTTGGTAGCTGGAAAACATAATACTTTCATTAATTATAAAAAATCCCTCTAGTTTTTATAATATGCCTCTGTTGCTTGGAGTTACATATATAAGGCAGTCTACATATATCGCGTGCTTGCTAGCGATGGTAACCATGTACTCCACACCTGAGGCGGCCCTAAATGCATTGCTGAACCTGAGGCCAGTACCAGCATGTACAGGCTTACCACTAGGTTAAGGAGTAGATGGCTGCTCCAGACCTTGAGATCAGCCCAAGACCAAGCAAAATTTTAAAATTAGGGAAGACTGGGAAATTAACAGTCTCACCTGGAAGGATGATAGCCTTCTATGGTATACCGATGGATCTGAGATGGGATCCAACGTAGGATGTGGTATACACGGCGTGAGACTCAGGCTCAGCTACAAGCTGAACGTGGGAGGACTCTCCTCTATCTTTCAGGCCGAAGTGTACGCCATAATTACTTGTGCGGATTTGAACCTGGAGAGAGGCTATGTTGACAAGTATAATTACATAAACTCGGATAGTCAAGCAGCTCTACTTGCACTGGCAAAGGCTGGTGCTAGGGAAACCTTTATTGCATCCGAACCCTTCATAGGAATAGCATACAGTCTGGCAAAGCACACTGCTAAATGAGAGCATACATCTCTCCCGAGAAGCGTGGCTACAGAGCCAAAGGGTCTTGAGCATTCAAAAGCCCTGATATCGGCCTACAATGCCAAACACTGTAGAGAGCCCTGTCATTGGACAGGAATGGTATTAGAATGCTCACTAGTCTTAATAGGGCATTATGACCAGCCGCGGTCCCGGCCCGACCCGCACCCGCTATCTGTTTCACGTTCCAAATGTGTCTGAATATGATTAATAATGCAATTTTGCAGGAGTTCTTGTTGGAAGGTATTACAATGATGATGGCAAACCAACTGAATATTCCAATGAACTAGATCTAAGATTAGAGAAGTGCAAGATTGAGAAGGAAATGGCCAAGCAAGATGAATTAAAATATCCTCCATGCAATATGGAGTGGAGTGCTGACCAAGGTAGCAGAGTCTGGTGTACTAAGACGAGGTAATTAAAGAGCACATCAAGCTTGACACATTGGTCATTCTTAAATCTTATGTGTCAAGCTTGTCATACTTTTGACTGTAACTAATTGGGATTCGATTTTATTTTTAATATTCATGCCTATTTCTTTTTTTTTACTGTTCTATTTAAAAAAATATTGGAATTATTAGTGCAAAAATCGAACACTAAGAAAAAATCCTTCGATCCCGCTAGCCACGGAACGCTACTAGCGGACTACCGCTAAACTAGCGAACTACCGCTAAACTAGCGAACTACCGCTAAACTAGCGGACCTTACAAATATTTTCTATGTGCTTGTTGCAGATCTTTGTTTTATAACGATTTTTTGCCTTACCGTCATCTGTGAGCAATCTATTTTTTTATTTTTTATGGTACTGTGTGATGGGACAAACAAGTCGTGCGCCTGATGGTAAACGACATGCCTGTCCATAACAGTTGTAGTGCCACTCCAGAGCTTTTAATCGCAAAGATCTGAGGTGCACTGCCTCTGAGTCCATCACCATTAGACATAAGTTGAAGTCCCATGTGCCTGTAATTTCACCAGCAAGCACTTTTACCCTTCAGAACCGGAACGCAGTAATGCTCACATTACTGCTTGGCGGCAGAAAATCAATTTCTTCACGGAGAGTACGTGAGTTTATGGCAGTGGTTTATGGAGTAATCTCACAAAAATAATTTAATATCATAGTGGTAAAAAATCGTGACATTCCATAAACTTAAAAATTACAAATTATTGGAAGTCAAACCAAAAACTTGCCTTCAATCACATGTGATGGTAAGCAAGTTGTGTAATAAACACAATTCCTTAGTGGCTAAATGTCTCTCATCCTTACACAATTTTACACTTACAGCGGTGGTATTGCAAGAAGTTGGGTGGGTGTACCTCGTCAGCTCTATACTCCTGGTGAGAAGCGACCTCGCTGTGCTTGTGTGGACCTTGAGCATGACCATTCTTCAGCTTTGCTAAACGAATACGATAATTGCACACCTTTTTCTACCTCATGTGTTTTAGAAAGTAATTAGTGTAGTGTAATACAGAAGATATGCTAAAAAGCAATTTGTATTACTGTTGTAATTTTAACTTTTCTGGATTTTCCATTACAATATTTTATGCTGTTAGGAATTTGATCTGTTGTTATTACCATTATAATTATAACAACCGATTCACAGAGTCCAGGGTCTGACAAATCAATTTTTCATTTCATGGAAATCTGTTTTACATATAAGTCTCTCACAAATTCAAATAATGTTTTTGATATTTTCAAGCATATATTGTAACTATGAAATAGAGAGACATTGAATTCTGGCTAAAACAAGGATTTGGTCTAGAAGGATTTTTTTTTTTTGTATTTATTATGGCATAGGATATGCAAAACTTTCCGAGCTGGAAGGCTGACTCCTCTTGAAGCGGAGCGAAATTAAACATTAACTAATTGTCAACTATCCAAAAATATTGAAAAATCCACATAATAAACTTTATTGGCAAAAACTTTATTTTGTTGCTGGACAAAGTATTATTAGTAGAGAAGTTTAGTAAGTGAATTAATTTTGAGCAAAAGTTCATGGTAGAGGTCACACAAACTTTTTGTATCATAGACCACATGCCAATTCCATTTGTCTTTCTATAATCACTTTGATAAGTTCAACTGTGTAGTGAAGAACTTAAAAAATATATGTATAGATAATCTTAACTAATCTGTTTATGGAAAGCCAAAATTTTGGTCATAAACTATCTAATGGTATCCACTCTCATGCACCTGCATTTACTCCAGTCTTCAACTTTTTTTTATATTATGAGTATAAACTATTATTGTTCGTAATTATAGATTATTGGGGACTGAGATTACTTGGGTAATCATCGGTCTATAGTCATAAATGCAGGATCAATATGTTGTGATAAATTTTGTAGAACATTCCATTTTGGCATTTTAAACATATAACATCATTGACTTACAATTATATGGACGTCGGGTCCGAACCGGGTGTCCGAACTTATAGGGCGTTAAAATCGTATACAGAGCGTCATTCACGTTTTAGTCTTCGTTTGTTCGACTGACAGCGAAGCAAGCAAAATTAGACAGTACTGCGATGACATTACAATTTAAATTCAACGTTTTAGCTTTTTCATATTCCTTTACATGTCACTATGTTTAAATAGGTTGACTTGGGACATTTTTTTCGTGGTTTTTGTATTAGACCCGTCGTCCATTTATTTGTAACTCAATGTATAATATAGAATCTTTCGTAATGAACATTTTTAAGACTGTTGATAAGTTTTTTTTTGTACTATTTATTATCCCCTTTGTATGTGATGTTATATTATACATATTTGCAGGGATCAAATAGATAACCATTAGGTATAGTTGTGTCAGTGCATGCAAAATTAACCTCTGACAGGGTACATGTATGTGAATTTTATTATATACTTATTTATATGTAAATACATCTTTGTTCAATAAATCAATACTAAATAGTTGAAAGCAAAATATATGCAGATATGCTATAATTTATAATGTTTTTAGCTGTTACTGGTTTCCTATTTTGACCTCAGCTGTAGTGTATTTTTTGAAGATGGAATAAAATGACAGTTCATTGCACAAAAGTGTTGTAAGCAGACAGCGATTGCAGTCAATAAACATTCTACCGACTATCAACAGACTGTTGGTTACGCTTACGCAATAAACAATTAATTGAACTTGTTTTATTTTAATCATCATCAGTCCTTTATTTGTTCAACTGCTGGGCACAGGTTAATCTGAATTGTCAATTTTTGTAAATTTATAAATGCATACACAACTATTTCTATTAACAATATAAGGAGGAGACATAGTTTAAAGATTGTCATATTAATTCAATATAGACAATTAAATGTGCCTGTGCTTATTGAAATGTATATGAGTAAAAATTTATTTCGATACTAGTAGGCCAGCTGTCAAAATGAGAATTAAGAAAGCAATAACGCAATTAGTAATCATCAGAACCTCATAACTTTGATAATTCAGGCATTTTTGGCAAAATTATACCTTACACAATCTATTGATAAAACTTTTGACAACAACTACATGACTATTTAAAATTTTATGAAACCTTCCAAATGTTGTTTTACTCCGTCTTCAAAAAAGACAGACTAATTTTATACAATCAATTTATCTACCAATAAATTATTTTCATCAGGTTATTGTATTTTCTCCCCTATGCCATAAAAAGAAAGGAGCAGATAAAGAATTAACATATTATTACAATAAATTCACATCAGAACATTGATTCCATTCACAATCTCCACACAAAGCAATTAATAATACCATAGGTAAAAAAGCATGTCATTAAATTAATTTCTCACTTGTTTCTGTACTTGTTTCAGTCTTAACTACCTCATCTAACTCTAAGCATTCAATTGTTTCTAAAAATACTTGCATTGGGATTTTTTTTCTGTTCAAAAATGACTTGTTCCCAAGTAACTTTTTAATTTTTGCTCTGCGCTTCTTAATTTTTTCTTTTGTATACTGGCTGCCTAACTGGAACGTTAAGAGTCTCTTCACTTTCCTACCACCTATAAGATTCTCATTCCTAGAATTTTCTTCAGTCTTAGGCTCTTCGTAAATGGTCTCTAAAGTTTGTGACAAAGTTTTTACATTTTTGTTGAGATATAAAGCCTCAATTTGTTTGCGATTACTGCTCTCAGGCAGTGTATGCTTGCGGGGCTTCATATTAACTCGACGATTAGTTGGCTTACTGATTTCAGGAGCTAGTGATTTGCGTTTTCGCAATACTCTTTTTGACAAATCTGGGAAATCCACTTTCTCGTCGGATGAATTCAGATTTAGTTCCTCAACTTCCATTATGTCTAATTGAGCCATTCTATTAGGTAACTCCGTATCCATTCTGTAATTATAAGTTCTTGGTCATAACATAAACAACAACTTACAGCAACGGTGTATTGTAAGAAAATGAACTTACTTCGACTGTTCCATAATAAAGAGTGAAAAGCTCAGTGTTAAGGTTTTATTTTTATTACAAAAACATGAAAGCTGTTGGATTCTTACTTTTCTTTTATCGCAAACTAACTACTCTGAGATCTATAAACTTAGTATCCGTTGGACGCACAAACTGGTTGGACGAACGAGGAACGAGCGAAAAAACGAAACGCACGGCGGGTAATCTTCATAGAAGATTTTTGGGCCTTATCCCATTGGAGGAGTGAATTAGAACATGACTTTCTTTTTTTTAATTATTCAATATGGCCGTCGCTGCCATTTATTTTTGTCTTTGACATCGACATTTTAACTCTGGTTTATTATGATTTCATTATGGTATATAGTTGTCTATGACTTCATTACTAGTTTATCCTTGATCGAGTGAAGTATCGTTAATTTCTATCCGTCCTTATCCTCTCAGCTAAACCAGTAATTTGGTGTGCCGTGTGGTAATTATCCCCATGTATAAAAAGTGTTGTATATAAAACTGTGCGAGTAAACGACAGGATGTCAAATTGCATCGGTTTCCCACATCTGAGATAGGACTCCAAAAGTGGTTACAATGCATTGGTAGTATTCAACTTCGCAGCCATAATTTACAGAGACTACGTAGGATATGTGTTTGTAATAAACATTTTGAAAAGAGGGTCATTACTGCCACATTGCGTTTACGTTATGGTGCTTATCCAACTTTATTTTCGGAAAACGAAATAACAAGTGGCTTGCCTGCAGAAGTTTCCGAAAACATTGGTAAGTACATACTTTACTCTAACATATTTATGCTAATTCGCTGCTCGCTAATGCCGTCATTAAATCTTAATTAATGAATTAACTTAATTATTACCGTTAATTAACAGTACGTTAGTCGTGGGTACGAAACTCAATAAACTTGTACTTTGCCAAATGTACTAAAATCTGTTTTACATTTTATTTGTTTATTAGTCATAACTTGTAGCATGTTATCTGTTCTTAATCTAAAGCTCTGTAGTTTTAGGTAATTAAAAGAATGTAAATGAACAAGAGCTATCGAAAAAAGTGTAATTAATAATTGCTCTTTACAATATTGAAGTATAAACCCGCGACAAACAATATGATAACACAAATACAAAGAAACGACACAAAACAGGAAATAGGAACAAATTCAGTTTCAAAAATCAAAAATAATATTTTCGTAATAAGAATAATACTTTCTAATTTAGTCGTTATATGTTAACTTCTGAGAAATTCGGTATTTTTTAAGTCACAATTTACTGTAAGAGAATAAAATATTTATTTAACATTATTTAAATGGTTTTAAATTAAATAAATGTGTTTTATACTCGAAAGAATGAAAAGTTAGTGCTTGTTAATTCAATGTAGTTACTTAAGTAATCCACTAAATTATTTTAAAATGTTAAAGTTCTGTCGGACATCAAATGCTGTCCTCATAAATAACCTCTTTTATGTTTTGTTTACATTCTTTTACCTAAATGTACGAAGATGTAGTTTGGGAAATTGTTTTTGATTACAGTATATAAATGTTTTATTCTGGTTAAAAACAATTTTCAATCCAAGCTTAAATTAAGCTAGTTATTTGTTGTAATAATAATTATTTGATCTGTTTATCATTGCTTTAAAATTAATATATTAAAAAAATCAAGTGACTACTGGAGTCACAAATTAACATTCCGGGCTTTGTACGGGGCCCCAATTCTTTAAATTTTCCTAAAACCACTGGTCAAAGTAATTCTATTGATATTGTTGTTACCTCAGTCCTTATTGTAAATTGCAGACAACATGCATTATGTGTGCAAAATTAATCTTCAATTATAATACTTGCCATGAGTTAAAAAGACATTAATAATTTTTCAGTGGATGTGACGAATGAACACTGCTACACCAAAAAACAACATGAAGACCATTCATATTATAAGTCTGCAGGTAAGTTTCGGTACTAACATCTTTAGACAGTTACTTGTATCAAATATAGTTTATGTCAAATTTGCAAAATCTGACTAACCATGTGATGTGAACCTTAAACATAAGTGACGTTATTTATGAATTATACATAACAAGGATTTGTGTTTTGAACTTACACTTTTTCATTTCAGATTTGGTGCATGAAAAACCGACTACTACCCGTGCTTTTATGCCCATTGAAAATTTTCTGCAAATGGCAGCCACAGGTAACTATTTTCAATTATCTGGCTCATCTGCAGTATAAAATATTTATTTCTTGTTCTAAAGAAGCTTAAGTACACCCTATTGTAACTATATAATACTCATAGGGAAGCTCATAAACAAACCCAATAGCACTCCCTTGGTCAGAGTTATATTATAATAAACTCTTTATACAGTGTACTGCAAAATATTAATTATTGTATGATTTAATTTTTGTCATTTAATTATGTATGTGAAGTATATAATATTGAAAAGATTTATCTCCTTAATTACGGCGATGATAACCTGATAAATAAAATTGTCGGTTTGTAATGTGTGAAGCTGACTTCTGAATAATAATCATAATTCTTTATTTGAATTTCTCTACAGAAACGTTGAAAATTGAAACTGAATCCTTATTCATAAAATCACGTGATTTTACTTGTCCATTGATTAGGTACTTCTTTAGCCTGAAGATTGAACGTTCTCAGTGCTGAAAAAGATATTAAATGGAGTTGAGTCATTGATCATTTGCATTACAGGTTTGGTGCAAATTTGTCCGGTCTCACCTAACACTTCACAGATGGAGAGCAGACCACGAGGAACGCGTGTCAAAGGTATGTTATTATTTTTAATTCATTTGGTGAAATGATTTTTAGCCTCCTCTAATCATTAGGCTACTACGGCTTTTTATACAAACTAACCGTTTATTTACTTTAATTTTTTTAATTTCAGAGTCGGAAAGTGTATTTACCAGGGAAATTGGACCCTCGACTCCCAAACGAAACAAAAATATTAGAAAACGTTTGTTTCACGGTATGAATACCCTGACACCTAAATGTAGAAGAAATTATAAAATATGTCGACTGTCCAAGAAGCAGTTAGTTTTGAATAAAAGAGCAAAATGAGATGTTTTGAATAAATTAACTTCCAAAATGAGGCCAGTTGCAAAAAAATATTTTGGATGCAAATCAAGCAATATGCAAAGTAAATTAAAGGACGAAGATTTTCAAACGAAGAAAAAATTATTGCTTTATCAATTCTCAAACAGAGCCCAAAATGTAACAAGTTCTTAGAAAGAATATTTTTTGCCGTCTAAAAAAAAGATGTTGAAAGTTCTTCCTGGAATAAATAAACAAATCTTTGACACGATAAAACAAGAGGTAAATCTATTTTTAAACTATCTTACATTTTATCTTTGTTAGCGAAGACGGCTGGATTACTTAATTTTTTTTTATGTTAGTAATCCGGACTATGAAGCTATAGGTCACTGGATCGGATCCTGTTATGATGTGAGTCGTGGAAGTAATTTATATTTATATCTGTTGTCTGCGCCCATAGTACCTAGCTTTACTTAGTTTACGACTAGTAACGGTGGACATTAGTCAATTGTCTCAAGATATTTATTATTTATTTCAATTATCATACCAAAGTCTGGAGTACATAGCATAAAGTAATGTAAAATAAATCATAAAGTAAAGTAAGGTAAGGGTACTGACACTGTGCAAGAGTAAATGTTGGATTGAATTATGATTTATAAAATTGATTACATCATTATGTAATTCCAATTTTTATATCAATATTTTGTTTATTCCAGACGACCAACTGGAGTGAAAAACAGAGATATTTCTCCATCATTTTTGATGAAATTTCTCTGCAACCTGGACTTACGTACTGTAGAGCAAGAGATAGTGTTAACGGGTTTGTGGAATTAAAAACAAATTACTAGCCAGTTTGCTGACCATGTGCTGGCATTTATGGTTCGGGGCGCTGTATACAAATGGCAACAGCCGATTGCATTTTATTTCTGTAAAGGTGCCACTAAGCACGACCAGTTAAAAGTTATAATCAAAGAGATAGTGGCAGCAGTAGTTGACGCTGGACTGCTACCTGTCGCACTAATATCTGACCAGGGCACAGCATTTCAATCGACCATGAAGAGTCTTCTCGAAGATACGAAACGAGATCAAATGCAATCAGGTGGACCTTTTGGTAAGTTTTGAAACTAAGTACTACATATAGGTATTTATTTAGTTTTGCATTTTACTAGCAGAAAATTGTATGAGAAAAATAGTAAAATTTGAGAAAAAAATCTTTACGTGGTATAGTATAACAGTTAAACAACACAGTCCCATATCTTTCTACATAAGTTGTCTACAGTGCCCCTCCCTAAGTTAAAATAGAGATTACGCTTTATTTAGTCTGTAGTTCGCATAATCCTCATACGCCTACCAGTAATTTAATTTTATGAAAGGAATGCTGATAATATTTGTTAATTATTAAAAAATCGAGATTAATCTAGCAACCAGTTGTATTATTATTTGCTTACACACACATATTAAAAAAAACCAAAGTAAACATACAAAGAAACAACACGTCCATAATTTCATTCTTTTGTTCTTATCACTTCTAAACCGCCCCAACCGAAAAAAGTTTTATGATGTTTTTCTTTAAAAAAATTAAAGTGTTATCTTACAACACAAGCCTCCGCCGATGGCGGCAGCATCAAAGTTAACATCTGGCGTACCTACTCAATCCATTATTGTTACCCATTATTATGAAATACCCAGAACTTAAAGATAGAAATAAACAATAAATAAATGTTTTATCTTTTGTCTGACTGGGAAACTAATAACAATGGGGTTATAAAAATTCTGGAAGAATGGTTTGTTTTGTCGAAAAAATTATGAGTTTTCAAATTCTGGGTGACTTTTATTTATCGAACAAAGCTAAGTCAATTGCATTGCGAACCCTATACTTCATTAACTGTATATAAAATTTTCTTTACCAATTACAAAAACAACTTGAATTCGACATAAAGTCCATAGAAAATATTTTCTCATAACCATTGAATGTTTTCATCTTGTCCTAAATATAATGTAAGGTAGTACGAGAATGAAAATAATATGTAGTAAATATCGAAACAAAACTACAGAAACAGCTCTTTAAACAGAATGAAACAGTGTCATCAATAAAACCAATCAAAGAATACAAATAACAAAAAGTTAACAATTATATTCTTAAGACGAAGTGGTATCGTGGTTGCGTTAACGGCGGAATGACATTTAATGTATTTACAACGGAATACACAAGAAAAAATCATTGAAATATGTCTAAATAATATTGGAATTAAATTGATTTTCCATGGAAAAAATTAAGAGTTTTCAGATTCTGGGTGATTTTTATTTATCGAACAAAGCTTAGTCAATCGCGTTGCGGACCCTATACTTCACTAACCGTATATAAAATTTTCATTACCATTTACAAAAACAACTTGAATTCGAATTTTTCAACATACAAAAACCGAGTTTCCTTCATCTTAACTATGGATTGTTGTGCTCTATATGTATGATTAAACAATATTCAATACTTGCCTTGCCGGGGCGACAGTTGTACCACTAAACTACATTTAACATAACAAACTGTTGGAGTGTTTTCACAAAAATATATGAAGATATTGGTAATAAAAACATCATGAAATTCATAATAAAAATAAAATATCATTTTTTTTTTCAGATTCAGTCATCTCATTAAGTGGCCAAGATCTGGTAGTAATATATGATCCACCTCATCTTATAAAAGAGATACATAATAATTTCCTAACAAAAAATATACAAAATGACGGAAAAATATCGAAATGGAGCGACATTGTCGATGTATACCGAACTGATTGCAGTCACGCTCAAGCCCGACTTTTACACAAATTAAATGACCACCACGTGCTTCCTGAATATATAAACAAAATGAAGGTAATTGGCATGTTATGCCTATTAATTTATAAAAACAAGATCTATAGAATCATTTGTATACAAAAATTAACTCATTTTGAGTTTCATCACATATGAAAAAGATTTTTCATGTGTGTTCCGACACATTCATATATTTGTTGATCAACACCGATCACTTAATATGTTGCTGTTGTTCTAATTTTGTAGTACAATTTTCTTTATTTCACAGGCATTCAAACAACATTACTTTTATTAGATAAGACTGTGGCAGCTGCTCTATCATATACTTCTCAGTTTTGTAAGTAACTTTCTTTAATTCCTCCTTCCTCATCATTTTGTATGAGCAAGATCACATATATATTTATAATTGTAATCTAATAATTTAAATTTCTTATAGAATGTTACTTACCTACTACATGAATAAATAAAAATGCTGTGTCTAACCATAGTTGATTAATGTTATTTTATGACAATAGTCATAACAGGACGAGTCAATGACACAAGTTTATAAAATAATAAAAATAAAGATCAATCAGTCGTTATCTCAGAATATAGTTATACTATCTCGCAAGGAAATACATGTCACAGGGTAACACCACACGCCATGATCCAAAAGTAATATTCTGAATAATCAATGGGCGTTAATTTTGACTTTCCATTCAGATAATTTTGAATCATAGCTTGTGGGGTTGCCCTGTGCATGTTCTCTTCAGATAGTACTTCAAGATTTGTAGTAATTGTAAACAATTCAATGTGGTGTTTTTGTTCACTTTATTTATCTCAATATCAAACAACCTAACGTAGATTACTTACATAAATAATATAATATCCATATTTCAGCTCATTTCTATTATTTAACTTCTATATAAGATTTCTTTTTCAGCTCATTACTCAGACGACCGTGAAGTTGGTAAGACCATAAAGAATACAGCTGAAACTGTATCGTTTTTCGACGACGTCTTTGATTCTACCAACGGAGCCACACTCAATCATATAAAATGAAAAGGAAAAAATCTCAGGAAAGCAGTTACACAAAATTCGCTACACCACGCCTTTTGGAACGAAGCCATAAAACAATTAGAAAATATGAAATTTTGTTGGCCAACAGAGTGAGTAGGTTACCCGTGCGAGTGTACCTTTATTAAAAAAACTGGGTTACAACACTCAACAGTTTTAAAAGATTGGGGCAATTTTTTAAGGAGAAAAATATAAAAATAATGCGCACGAGACATTTTAATTCAGACCCAATAGAAAACTTTTTCGGTCAAGTGCGCGCCTATAATTTTGGAAATAACGATTCGGATTGCCACACTTTATAAACACATTTCGATCTCTATTGATTACTCGTTCATAAAGTTTCATTCGGAAACCTATAATTGCGAAGTTGATTCGGGTAATCAATTGATCAATGTACAAAATCTATTTAAAGAAACGGAGGTCGAAAATGTTACTGAGGATGTTTGTACTGGAACTACTAATGTATGAAATGTTGAATTTGAAAATATTTACGTGCAAGCGTGTCGTGAAAATTTACACGTACACTCACGTGCATACACTGCGGGGTGGTTAGTTCGTAAAATTACACAGAAAGTCAAATGTGAAGATTGTAAAAACGATCTTGCCACAAACGAAAGTTCTATCCATACTTGGATTAGCCATATGGAATTTAAAACCATTAAACAAAACAAACTAACCTACCCTTCGGAACATGTGGTGGCTTATTTTGGCAATATTGTGAATGAATCAAACGAATATTTAAAAAAGAGCCTCACAGAAATAATCTGACAAAAGAAATAAAACAACATACCCTTGCTAAGTACTCCTTTGCCTTTCTCAATTGTATGGTACATGGGCCGCTTGTAATTAGAGTGTATTGTTACTATAACAATTCGTTTTGCGGTTTATAATTGATGCAATATTATTAATAAAATTATTAAAGGCACAGACGTATTTCGGCTACGGGGTAAGATTTTACCACAACAAGGCATTAAATAAGTATAAAAAAAAATTGAAAATAAAAAAGGTAAAATAAGTAATTTATATTTCAAATTAATTAAAACCGAACCGTACGATTGAGGATGTCAAACAAATACTTAGCTAGAATATCTTATTTCTTTTGGTTATGTGAGCCTCTTTTGCCTTTTGCCTAACATTCGTTTGATTCGTTTACAACATCACTAAAATACCTGAGCGCATGTTCAAAAGGGTAGGTTAGTTTGTTTTTGTTCAATTAATGGTTTTCAAATGTTTTAAACAAAAATTCCTGTGACTAACTATCTAGTTAGTCACAGGAATTTTTGACATAGCTAATCAAATTATGGATAGAGTCTGCGGTGGTAAGATAATTTTAAAGTTTTCATGTTAAATTTCTGTGTAATTTTACGAACTGAATAAGTACCCTACCGCGTACCTGTAAACTTACGATTTGCTTGCACGTAAAGATTTTTAGTTTTAACATTTGGTACATTGTAGTTATACCTTCAATAACATTTTCGCCATCAGTTTATTTAAATAGATTTGGTAATTTGGTCATTTCATTAACCGAATCACCTTCGGGATTTTTACTTTGAATAGAATAATCAATAGAGACCGAAATCTCTTTGTAAAGGCGTATAATCCGGAGAGTTATTTCTAAAATGATTGGTTATCAATTGTACGAAAAAGTGTTCTATTGTGTGTCAATAAAAAATATTAATTGAAAAAAGAGTGTTGCAGCCTAATTTTTTAAAGTATGTACAAATGCCCCGAGGAACTGCCCATAAATGTTTGATTTTACTAAAAAAAATTGAAAATAAACAAGGTCAAATAACAAAATGTGTTTCATTTTTCAAAATTTATTCATCTAATTCATACCGAATAAGCCTAGGAGCCGGAAAAATATGCAAATTGGCTGTTAACACTGTGCCTTCGCTTTCATGTCATACGTAATTTAAAAAAAAACCAACTGTCATGTTCTAAATCACTCTTTCCTTATTGGCCATTATCCGTAAAGGGGAGTGGTTCGTCTGATACGTAGTATCTCTTATTAGTTTGTGACGAAACGACATGACATTTATATTTTTTTATTGGGGGCCAATTCGGGTCAAGTAGACAAGGGCGAACGCCGATACTGCCTCGTCTTTAGAAGTAAGTGTCAATTAAGAAAAACGTCATTTCTAGGTAAACATTTACCTATGATGAAAAGAAGAAACGAAAAATAATTCAGTAAAGAAATTTACTAATTAAAGAGGAAGGAAACGCAGTAGTACTGTTAAAAAAGTCCGATGGGACTTTGTAAGTCAATGGATGGGACTTACTTTTTCCCATCCTCTAAGGACTTCTTAGACTATGGAAATCCTCTAAGAAGGACTTACTCGACTACGTAGAGGGTTTTTTATTTTCCCTCTACGCTCGACTACTATCTACGACAGAAACCCTTGAGTTTTTAATGTCAACCCACTTCCCGGGCAAAGAGGATATAACCACTACGTCACATTCCGGGGGCCTAATGAGAGTTGCCCATTAGCCAAGCATTGACTCCACCTAGAGATGGGTTTTTACCAGATAAATATCCGTCTAAGGATAAATATCCGTTTTTACTGAGTATTTATCCTAAAACATGGATAATTATTTTTTGTTTTTTTATAATAAAATTCATTAGAATTCATTTTTCATTAAATAATTACGTTTTTGTCATTCTTTTATATAACAATACTGTTCTACCTAAGTTTTTCGAGTCGAGTGGTATAAAAAATTCGATTGACAGAAAGTTATCAAATTAACTGTAAACCTTGAGCTGACCTATCCTGCGTTAATAAAGTGCGATTCAACTTTACGTGAGGTCTTGAGGTCAATAGCGTACTAAAAAATAGTCATGTTTGGACTTGAAATAGCCTAAGGATTCTCTTTCACATTTCACACACAAAATCTATTAATTAAAACGCATGATATAAAAAATATATATTTATAATTGTGTAGGTACACAACATGTTTTAAAAATATACATTGTTTTACTAAATATAAATAATAAACCAAGATTAAAAATATTTACCCACGTTTTTGGATAAATATCGAGTAAAAATGGATATTTATCCTGAGTATTTATCCATGACCCATCTCTAACTCCACCACATATTACACCTCGAGCGCGAAGACTGGAACAGATCGATCGCCTACATAATAAGACCCTGACAGGTGACTTCGGCCATAAACTCGTTTAAATCGTAAACTCTGGTAAGATAAGAACAATATTATTCCTATCTTACTGCAGACATAAGTGTACTCTTGCCATATCTGGTTAAGATATACCTAACGGAGCCAGTCTTGTCTGGGGACACACACCTACGACGCAATGAACAACGTGTAAAGTTGTCTTGATACCAAATGTACACGAAATAACTTTTCTCTTGCCAAGTCCTTTGACAATCTGCCTAATCTCATTCTTGCATAATGCAATGGAGAAGTTAATTGCCAATCACACTTCACACACAGACTTCGTCCTGTCCATCACATTCACTCAACACGCCTATCAAAGTGTAAAATCCACAGAGGCTGCATTGCTCCACCTTGTTGAGAGAGCCGAAAGAGCTTTTGAGTATAAATAAATAACACTGGGCCTTTCTAGATCCGTACTCTGGTAAAAGGACTAACCTGCAAAGGCCTTACATGGGAACCTGCCTGTGGGTTCTTGCTATGGATCAGCTCTAGTATAGGCTGGCCGAACTAAATATTGACCATAATATAATCACTCAAAGGAGCTCCTGATACCATTTGCGCTTGGTGTTAAGATAACTAACTATCCATAAATACGTAAAGACAACCGTTGTCTCTTCCCCGAGGAAACTAGATACCTAAGCTAGTTGGACTGGTCCTAAGTGGCAGGGTTGTGGGTTTTTCTGCAGAAGTTAAATATCTAGAGATAACACTAGATAAAACCCTAAAAAGCCATAATTGTTTGTTTATATAAACTCAGATAGTCAAGGTAAGCTTTACAATCTACATTCATCACTTCAGTTACTCAAACATCGAGGATTGTAAAGAACTAACTATGCTGAACACTCTCGGGGAAAGGAATAAAGTGGTCTTTTGCTGGGTTCCAGGTCATTCTGGCATCGTGAGTAATAAAATGGTTATTGTTCCCAAATCCGGGATAACATACAGCTTGGAAAAGCTCACTTTACTTAACCAACAGCTTACACGTCTCCCGAGACGTCTGGATTCAGACCAAGTATCTTGAGCATTCAAAAACCCTGATAGCTGCCTACAGTAAAGTTCTAAATACTGTAAAGCAGTAGGGCACTGGAATAAGGCACCAGAATGCTGAATAAAGCCTTAACAGGGCGTTGTGGCTTGAACAAGCACATGTCTAATATTGGGGAAATCCTTCAGTTATTTAATGCCGTTGACTTTGACTTCGAACTGTGATTAGTGGTGATCAAAATAGCAGAGCGCTGAGTGTAACTACGTCGGCACAAGCGCTCATACAAGTCTTTCATTTATGAGCATTCGGCTTCACACGACTGCACACACGGCGGGCAACGTTATTTTTACCTCTCTAAGCGCGTGCTTAGGTTCCTTTTTCCTCGTAGTGAGCGTCTGGTGTCATTAGTCAGATAGTAGATTATAGCGTAGGTATTTTCAGTTTTGTATGAAACTGATGTATCTGCTATGCCCGAAATACAGGAGGCTAGTTTTTCAAGCTAGGATAGCAAGGTAGTGCAAGTAACTCCGGGCATTACGTGGTAACTATTAAGTAATCTGTGACAATAGGTCACTTAATGGTCACAGTGATGAGGGGTTGTATGCGCTCTGAATAATACCACCCTAATAATACAACAACTATTGCATTTTTAGAGCAGCCCTATTATTATTATAATAGGGCTGCTCTAAAAATTAAATAGTTGTTTCAGTTTGAATGCGGTCAATCCCTCCTATAACTGTCAATCATAGTTGTTTACTTGCTCAAAACCATGCCAAATCCTTAGATAGGTATTCTATTAGATAATAAAGAAATAAAACGATAAATATCTTACTTTTGAGTTTAGAAGTGTTAAACGTAAAATACCTTCATGATCGTTGACCTACCAGTCAATGTTCATGATAAACTGTCTATAAAGAGTAGTTTAATATTAACTGTTTTATAATGCACTAATAATATCTAGGGTTGGCAAATTAATAATAATAAAGCAACATCATTAATTTGAATCAATACATCGACCAACATTATAATAAAGGACAAATCTATTTTATTTAGTTCAACTTAAATTCTAGTGGCGTCTTTTTCGACCTTATTATTGTCGCCACATTTTTCGATATTTTAATTTTTGGTATATTAAAACAATGAAGCATATTTTGAGTCTGCCGACCTTAGATATATATTTATTACTATTCAACCTTAGGCTCTTGTAAAGCTATACATTTTTAGATGTCAGACAATATTCTACTTCTATTACTATATAACTACATCATCACAAAACCTCGTCTCTTCATACATCGCTGCAACAGTCCTTATCCTAGCTACCGGGCACACCAGTGATTTGGGCTTTGCTTTATTTCACTGATGGATGGTGGTAGTCCTCGGAACGTAACCGAATGATGTTCTGCGATACTCCGTGTTAAATGCTCAGTTAAATACATCATTGAAAACATAAGAGTTTTATCGTCCGTTGTTTAAAATTGTTCCGAAATAAAAGCACCTGTCGTTTTATAACGATTTATTGTACAAAACAATAATACATTAAAATGTACAGGTATGTTTAAATTTCTGGACTCGATTAGGTCCCAAACACTGGACAATTATGTATATCCTTCCCTTACAGGACACCATATTGCTCGTCGAGGCGTCAGCACTAATAGAAACAGACTCGGCGCTATATAAGCAAACTAGATTTAAATAGAATAAAAATATAACAATAAATTAATAAGAGTGCTTGTCAACTTAAGTACACACTGTCTATCGCACTGCTTTTGTCGACGGGCACCATGTAGTCTTTATTAGAACAACGTAATTAACAAATGGATAAACCTCCTAAGCATACTGTATGTATATACACATTATGAACAAGTCCTTTCTGTGAACTAGCGCAGGTGAGCAGGTGTAGGTGCGCGCCCCACTCCGCCTAGTCGCTGCTCCGCCACGTCGCGCCGGCCTACACGCAGTCTAGCACATACCGCGTCACTGATATTCGACTTTACAGGTGTACATCTACAAGCCAATCGGTCTGACGACCGGAGACGATAGTGGAAGAAGTAGCAGAGAGAAGCGGGTGAGGAACTACGTTTCGGTGGCGTTTACCACTTGTCAATGACCACCTCGTTCGCTGTAAAATAACGACAACGTTTAATGCGGGTACGGCGGGCGCGCTGCCGACCGACTTACGGCGAGTGCGAATCACAACCGTGTAGACAAGTGTAGTCACTGCGGGATCACAACAAACAATCAGTGTTCATGGAATAGCGTGCAGGCACGGCGCTGGCGAGGACAGGAACGCCGCTTACAGACTCCACGTCGGCTTGGCTGGGGGAAAACAACACCTCGTTAGTGCATGCGGGGTGCACCGTGCGCTGCTTTTGTGCGGCGCCGTGACAGGTGCAGGACCGGGACCGGGGATAGGCTATACAAAGTTTTGCAATATACTGGCAAGCTTTCAAATCATCGTGACGATAGCATCTACATTTTGTATCTGACAGTAAAGTTGTAAGAATACTAATAATAATGTGCTTCGTGACTTTTCAGAAGCTCCTTTTTTAAGAAATACGGAGAATGAAATAACCAATGTTGTAAGATTTTTTAAATAACAACAAGTATTTGATTTCGAGAAATATATAACCTATATAGCGACGTTGCAGTTTTTAAGCTTGCAAAACTTTTAGTATGTTATTTATTACAAATATGTAGTTAGCAGGATACAAACAAAATGTAACGCGTCAGTAAACAAATACAGTGTATTATGTAGGACATGTACTAGTTGTCCAACTAATAGGACAGACATGTGCTGGTTATTATGGTGGAATTGGAAATAATTGAAACAGTGGGTATTCTCGACAATTTTAATTAATGTAAAATATGTATAAACGACTGTACACTTTAAATAAGTTATTCTATAATAGTAACAGTTCGGGGAGTAGGGACATTCACACGAAAGGATTGAGCATGCCCTTGTTGTGCAGTGTGTAGTGTGTAGCGAACTCGTGGGGACACAACTTTTGAAAATTCAAAAGTGTAACATAAAATAATAAAGATCCAGCAGATTTATTTACCTATATATAATATGTAAATATCAACAAATCAAGGCAAACTGCACTCTCTATTCGAAGCATGCATTCTTGCATTCATGCAAGATTCCATAACAATATTATTAAAAACTTAATGTACGTACACACCTTGTACCATAACATTTTAATAAAATGGACAATTTTGATTTTTTTCGTACAACTTAAATTAGTATTATGTCTCAAAGTAAAATAGAAAATATGTAACACCAATTCATCTATAGGAAACAAACTTAAATTACATTTGTATTGTAAACATAAAGTATGTACCGAACTGATCATTATCATTTAATCAAATGTTCAAACATACATATCGATTTTTAATATTATTTATCCAAATATTCCTTTATAATGTTTTCTATAATTTTTATTTAAATCGTACGTTAAAAAATATCAATGTAACCTAGCGTGCGGCACGTGCAATCGCAGAGTGAAATTAGGAGATCGAGACAATACATACGCAAATGGTTATTGCTCATCATCAGCACAAAATATATGTTTGTTAATAGGTTAGGTTAGATCTAAGCCGCAGCATTCTAGTCTCCGCACAAGAGACGCTAAGTTAAGAAATCGAAATGCGAGAAGGAATGTTAACAAGCAACCACAGGTGAAAGGACAGAGAAGATTCCCATTCGATAACTTGCCGAGCAAAGTAATCGTAACCACGTCCCTACCGATATACTTACAATAAATTATTCTAAGCTAACAATGCACTTTACTATTTATAGTAAATGTTGAAATATAAGTGTCTGCAGTCCACAAGGACAAAGGTACTGAGCCGTGTGCGAGTTCATCAGTACAAATCTGCATTCTGGAGCTATTACAATGCACTCAACTATACATCAAGAAATGCAAAACCTAACTTATATTATATATACCCTTTGTATAAAAACCACTTTTTGGTGTTTCGTATTAGCATACATAACGTAGGTCGTCACAGCCACTTCACATTCAAGGAAAAAGACGAAGGAAGAAAATTAAAACTGTTGAACCTCCAAACTAGGCAGTTAGATGAGCTCCAGAATATTATTGTCTCGCACGTATATACAAGGTGTAATCTCAGAGCGGGGGCAGGTTCGCCGCACCGTCTCTCGAGATTAGATTATTCCTAGGCGAAAGTAGATGCTACAACACAAGGGCCGCACCCGCAGGCGGCGCCGGCGTCGACACTTGTTCGTCAGTCACTCACTAGCGCTGTGGCGCTGTTGTCCGTCACCGCGGCGTGCAGGCCTCACTCACACTGTGCGCGGGATTAGCATTCAAACGGTTAGTTCACTGCGGTGAGCCACGCTCAATGTCTGTACGGTTCCACAGTGCGCATCCTTGCGCTACCCATCTCACTACACCTCGTATACACTAAGATTTTGCGTTAACAACTATGGTACTACTTACATATTGCACCGATATTAAAAGAAAAATTATTGAGACATTCACCCAATAATATTACAGAAAGTTTCATAAGAAAGTAGGATCACGTATCCGAGTGAAATTAGAATCTATCGGACGGTGTCAGGGTAGCGCAAAGTTCGTTGGGGTATTAGGTGTGAACAAACGGGTTGTACGGCACACGGGGCCAGAGCAGGGCGGCCGCTTATAGGGGGCCGTAGATGATGATCCCAAAGAAGACGGCCCACATGAGCACAATCCATTGCATGCCGTGTAGCCAGTCCGCCAGGGATTTGGTCTCACCGTCGGAGATCTTGCGCGCGACGAACTTGAGCACCTCATCCAGCAGCACCACGGGTATGGAGAACTTCATCACAGTTATCCATTCGTCGACCGACAGCGGCGTCACTTGGAACACAGCCTGCGGACGTACCACCAACATTTACTTCGCGTTTCTTCTAATTGTTAGTACATTATATGGTTTGAACAATGTGCCCAAAGATATCAATATCGTCGGTAAGTGTAATCACAGGATAACTTCGAGTTCGCTTACCGAGAGGACCTCGACATAGAGGATAACGAAGTGGAGTGTGAAGGAGAGGGCCATCGAACCGACGAGCCACAAGTTGGACCATGGCGGCATGCTGATGAGCGACTGGTTTTCAGACAAGCTGTTCATGGCGTTCAACATCTCGATGGTGACCAGCACGGATAGAGCCATGGTCATAGGGTGAGGGTCAGTGAAGATTTTGCAGTCGACGCCCTGAAATGCCACCGCAAAAAAATTTAAAAAAATTCATGGCTATAATTATATTATTCATTGTTTGTCCACCCAGGGGCATACAGTTGGACATCAAAAAAGAATTAAGATATTGAGAAAGTAAAGTTATCATCATTAATAACAAGTTTCAAGTTAATGTAAAAAAGGACCTTAAATTCTTCTCCTCCACTGAGACACTGCAAGTGGTGGGTCAGCTGCCAGTAGGACATCTGCGGGCCGAAGGGCGAGTACAAGAACCACCAAGTGGCAGCACCGACAGTCGCTGCGCCTACGTAGCCACCGATAGCCATGTATCTGAAGCATTTAAAACACTTGATTGATAAAACAATCTAGACTTCAGAGGACAAAATTTGTTAACTTGATTTTTTTATTTCAAGAAAGAGTAACTACAATTTAGTGTCTCGTTAATTTTATTACCTGTGCAGGTAATTTTTAATATCTTGAGGGTGTAAGGTAAAATAATGTTACCTGAAGAAGAGCCAGCCAGAGATAAGACCTTCATCAGCCTTGCGGGGAGGTTTGTCCATGATGTCCAAGTCGGGGGGATTGAAGCCGAGGGCGGTGGCGGGCAGACCGTCAGTGACAAGGTTGACCCACAACAGCTGCACAGGGATCAGAGCCTCGGGGAGACCAAGAGCGGCAGTCAGGAAAATGGACACGACTTCACCAATGTTGGAAGAGATCAAGTAGCGGATGAACTGCTTCATGTTGTTGTAGATAGCACGACCTGTTATGTATAGGTGTAATTAGTATTCTTTAATTTATAAACTGTATATAATGTCTTTTATATTCACCTAACTGCATGAAATAACAGATTTATTGTATGTATTTTCCGTAGATGTCATATAAACCCATTAGGATAAATCGGAGGAAAAAGCCAACAGCTGCTTTATGTGATGTCCGTGCCTGCGATCGTCTATACGCTTGTTAATCTTAGAATCTGACTCTAATTTTCCTTTTTTTTAACCTACATATTCAGCAGTAGATTATTGTATTCTTATGTATGATAATAAATAAAAGGTTTTTTTTATATATACCTTCCTCGACTGCAGCGACAATGGAGGAGAAGTTGTCATCAGCGAGAACCATCTCGGCGGCGGATTTAGCGACAGCGGTACCGGAGCCCATGGCAATACCGATCTCGGCCTTCTTCAGGGCGGGGGCGTCATTCACACCGTCACCAGTCTGCAATAACGTAGCACTATTGATTTATCCTTGTTGTTAAAACTCTCGTAAATTTTGGTAAACTACATCTCAAAACTATATCATGACTTACGTATTCTCCATCTATTTTTACTTCCTATTAATAAACTCAAGCAATAAATATTACAAAGATCTACTCGAATATGTAGATATACACAGGCGGCTTTGTTATATTTTTTACAAACCGTTTCATGATAACTCCGAAAAATGCAGTTATAAACATTACCACTCAAACATAAATATTTTGAGAAGCATTCCCACCAGTTTCGTTTTGTAAACATTAAATAATATCGAGAATATGTGCTGTAGTAGCAATAAAGACGTTGTTTATTGAGTAATAAGTATGTCAATTAATGTTTCCGCTCTCAATTTTTGTGAAAAGTGAAAACTAACAGATATTTTATGAAAATATGTATTTGAGTTATTAAAATGGATGAATGTTATACTTACCATGGCGGAGATCTCGTTCATGCTCTGCAGGTACTCAACAATTTTGGACTTGTGAGCGGGCTCCACGCGGGAGAACAGGCGAGCTCTAGCGCAAGCACTACGCTGCTCAGAGACGGGCAGGTCGTCGAACTCGCGGCCAGAGTAAGATTTGTTAGTGGTGTCCTCATCTTCACCGAATACGCCAATACGTCTGTAAAATACCTTCTTGTTAGTAGTCATGTCAAAAATACCCAGTGATGAATTGTATCTATATATGGGTAGTTCTCATAAAACTGGGAAATTCATGCTTTCGATTTTTATGAAAAATATTAGGAAGAATTTGTATTTATTTTTTGTAAATTTCATAGTATTTATGTCAACAGTTTTTGATAACAAAGTGGTCCCCAAAATAAATGACATTAAAGAAAATGTACAGGACAGTCAGAACAATTGACGGTGAGGGAATAACGAAATTAAAATAAACCAAGAAAAAATAGCTATATAAACTTACTTATAGACTACATATTTTGTGTAAGCTTACTGCTACCAATAACTCATCTAAGTGTATAATTAATAAATAAAATCAAATGCTACTTATTTTTATTCACTCGCAGCCATTCCCTCACATGACTGTTAAAAATATAACTTTTAGAATTTTAAATGAAATCTTTTCTAGTTTCTACAACGAAAAGATTTTCAACTTACGAAACTCAACGGAACTCAATTGAATTTCGTAATTTTCAAACGTTTACAGTGCTGCCAAGTTTCTAAAAGTTACAAATGCATTTACCAAAGCTTAACAATTCGTTCACAAATCGAATGGAAGGTAAAAGTATGAGGGAATTATTTGTTTTGGTTGGAACACGAATAATATAAATTTATTTACCGTGTTATTACCACAGGATTTCTTTAATTTCGCTAAAACACATTTTATTTGACCGAATGTTTAAAATTTAAAGGTTATTTTTATGAAATAAGTTGATTTAAAGCACAGAACGTGATTGACTATGGAACTTGGGACATAGTGATGGAATGATTTTGGGCACATTTTTATATTATTATTTTTAATTAAATAGAATAATCAATGTTTTAAGGCATTAATAGCAATTGAAGTATAATAAATATTAATTTTTTTATTTGTTTTTAACAAATATACGCGATTTAAATCCGGAAAAATAGTTTCGTTTCCTAAATCAAATACTTTTTTTTTTATAAACCTTAAGAACACGAATTTCGAGATTTTGTAAGAATTGCCCATACATGCTTTGAAGTCCAATTTACCTGCAGATGGCCTCAGCTGTGGCCTTGTTGTCACCAGTGATGACAATTACACGGATACCAGCAGCGCGGCAACGTACGATTGAGTCGAAGACTTCCTTGCGGGGAGGGTCCAACATGCCAACGACACCGACGAAGGTAAGGTTGACTTCATAAGTGTAGAACTTGGAAGAGTCACCAAGGTCCATTTCTTCGGGCTTAAGTGGGTTGTCAGCGGTAGCGAGGGCCAAGCAACGTAGTGTGTCGCGACCGGTACCATATGTGCGGGTCAGATCCAGAATGCGGTTCTTTAGGGTAGCGTTCAGAGGCACCTTGCTGGTACCGACACGAGCGTGGCTGCAACGTTCCAAAACTCCTTCGGGCGCACCTTTGACGAACAGTTTGGGTCCATTTCCGAGACGGGAAGGCTTAAGGGGTGTGCAGTAGGAAGACATGGATTTCCGGTCACGGGAGAATTCTAGAGTGAATTCCTTCTTCCACTTGGTTTCAATTTCCTGGCGGACGACAATAGCAGTGGAACGCCGATCGAGGCCGGTTTTGGAAACGTTGAAGGGATTCATCTTTTCGGCGAGCACAATTAGAGCCGTTTCAGTAGCTTCACCGACCTTTTCGAAACACTGCTTAAATTCGTTAAAATCAATGGCGGAGTCGTTACACATAACGCAGATCGTGCCCAGCTCCTGTAGTGCTTCGAACTCGGAGGCTTTGACCTTCTGACCCTTCAAGTAAACATCGCCGATAGGTTCATAAGTGGAGCCAGTAATTTCGAATTCGAGGAAGCTGCTATCACTGCCTTCAATCTTCTCAAAGATGAACATGCGAGAGACGGACATCTGGTTGGTTGTGAGTGTTCCGGTTTTGTCAGAGCAAATGACTGATGTGCAACCAAGGGTCTCAACGGAGGGCAGAGATCTAACAATAGCATTTTTCTTTGCCATTCTTCTCGTGCCGAGAGCCAAGCAAGTAGTGATGACAGCGGGCAGACCTTCAGGAATAGCAGCGACGGCGAGAGCGACAGCAATTTTGAAATAGTAAACTGCGCCCTTAATCCAGGAGCCACCATGGGCAGGGTCGTTGAAGTGACCGATGTTGATGGCCCATACAGCGACACAAATGACGGAGATAACTTTAGACAGCTGCTCACCGAACTCATCGAGTTTTTGTTGCAGGGGTGTCTTGATCTCTTCAGTCTCGGACATTTCGGTACGGATTTTACCGATGGCAGTGTTGAGGCCGGTGCCAATGACGACACCGCGGGCCTTACCGGCGGCGACGTTAGTGCCGGAGAAGAGGATGTTCTTTTTGTCCTGGTTGACGGCGCGGGGGTCGGGAATGGGGTCGGTATGTTTGATCACGGAAACAGATTCTCCGGTCAAGATGGACTGATCGATACGAATGGTGGTAGAGTAAATCTTGATCAGACGGATGTCAGCGGGGATCTTGTCACCGACTGACACCTCAACGATGTCACCGGGCACAATTTCTTTCGCTCGAATTTTCTGAACGCCAGATTTGTCTCCTCTGATGACTTTGCCCATCTCGGGTTCGTATTCTTTTAAAGCTTCGATGGCGGATTCGGCATTTCTTTCCTGTAAGCCAATGTTCAAATAAGAAGACTCAATAAATAAGTGTCAATTGATTATAAATATTTTATTATATGCCAAAACTTCTAAATTACCTGCCATACTCCTACTACAGCGTTAGCAATAAGAATTAGTAAAATAACGAAGGGTTCTACGAATGCTGAGAATGCGTCTTCATGTTCCTCAAATAAAGCTAAAACCTGTAAATATAAAAGGCTATTTAATACATTGTACGATGGTAGCCACTCAATAAATAAACGTGATTTGGAGCCACACACTAAAGAATTATGCAGAATGCACACAGCAAATAAGAATAAAAGTTGCACGTTTGGATTATGAATTCACAAAGTGTGCTCCATATTTTTTGTGTAAGTAATACTTACGAATGAAATAATAGCAGCTAACAGCAAAATCTTGACTAAAAGATCGTCGAATTGCTCCAGGACTAATTGCCATATACTCTTGCCTACAATGAAAAATATAGATCACTATCACTATAAGAATAATAATAGTTGTTTGCTAATATAGTAGTACATGTCGTAAATTTTACAAAAAATATTAATGAAAACATAATAGCGATCTGTCTCGCTCCATCTTTTGGTAGATCAAAAGCCAATATTCGAGTGAAAATCTTTGCTTAACTCACTTCCACTTGCTGTGGAGAAAAAACAATAGGTCAATGTTTTGTCCGATATCGTTTCTTAAGATTTTGTACTAAGGCAATAAAATATTCCATAAGCAATTTATCGTACGATTGATTTCTATTGTTCGTCGATATTAGATTGTGTTTATTGATTTTAAGATCTAATATTGACATTATAAATAAATAACAGAAAAAATTGGCGTTCAATTTTAATGATGGAGGCACAGGTTTGTTAAAATTATTTTTTATCATTTACATTAGAGGAATATGTACTTTAAAGATTTGTATACAATATACAAGGTATTTGTTATCATTATCTGGGACAGACGTCCAGCTTCAGCACGAGTACGATACATGTACATACGTAGTTTTACAGCTTTAATGATAATATAATACAGAAGTACTCGATGTTCTAGACAATAAGCTCAACTACAAAACTTTATGTAGTTAAGTGAGGTTCCACGACCTTGAAAGTTACAAAAAAATTTACTTGTAACCTTTATTTCGTTCTATAAGGATTCGTTTCGTTAAATTTGTGGTATTTGTAAATCCCAAACATTGTACCTAATTTCTCGATTACTATTAACCTAATCAAATTTCGTGTGCAAGTCCTTGAGGGTCATCGTTTCTGGTCAGAGGTTAAGGAAAAAATATGAGAATGTAGTTTCCGAGTTTCCGTATTGCAAGTTGTACGAGTTAGCCATGCTATACCTATGTTTATATTATATATATTTATGCTATCGATTCAACGATTCCTCCAAGCTTACCTTCCTCTGTAGGCAGTTCTGAAAAAAGGAAAGAAACATAATTAGAGTTTTGAGCAAAACATCAAAGGAGTAAATTTAACAGACGATAAACCAGTCAGAGCAGGCATGCGATCTATCTGAGCAGTTACGATCGTACATACATAAATACACGTATAGTTACCGCTTGGTAGGGCTATGTGCTAGCTTAGCCATAGTGGCGCGGCACCAATATTTTGATGGACATGGCGCTCGAGTGACGTCAACGCTTTGACGTTGTCTACCGACACACAAGTTCGACAGACCTACTCGACATAACGCTAAAATAGCCTCGTTTCTTCCGCATACAACACAATGTGCGTTATCAACTCTCAAACAGGTTGCGGTCTCGTAACTACGCATATACAGATAGAAACAAGTCGCTTCATTTTAATACTGCTTTGTTAATACTATAATAGTTTGGTGTATACTGCAATTGTTCAGTAGTAATTTTGAAATACGGTCTCAGAGGTAAAGAACCACAATAAGGACGTTGTCCTATGCGTTATCAATCATGATAACGAAAAGTCAATATGAAAGTGTTGAATATTAATTATAATTAGCTAATATAATTCTTATGAGACAGACAAAGGAGACAAAATGAAATTGAAAATGGTGTACACAGAGAACGGAAGTTTGTTAAGACAAGGAATTGTATTGTACCTTTACATTACTATATTTGCTTTTCATGCTTAGTAGAGATTACGCAGAAGATTGAGAGATGATTGGGTCATATTGGACCACGTAGGATCGTACCATGACTACGTCTACCTCATTGCTGACGTAGACGTTGACGTCACTACGACGTTGTGGACAAAAGTTGCAGTATTGATCTAATGTAGTCTAATGAGTAAGATTAATATATTTTATTGTAATATTGGTTAAAACGTTATTTATATTAGGTAAAGGCTAGATGAAATTGACGATGTGAGATAAAATAACACGTTCAAGTCTTAATCTAGTTATCGGGCAACGTGCGCTGATCGACTTCGGTGTATCGGCTCTATTTGCGTACAGAGCGTGCTGGCAGGCTTGGCGCGTCTTATGTAAGCAATTAGCCAATGCGTCGATAGCGCCGTGTCAGCATCTGTGCACAATCGCCGACGATCAATGAGAACAACAAAGGGGTATTAAATTATACGATGTGCTGATAGTTATTTTCATATTGCGTACATGACGCAAGGAGAATAATAATGAACTATCCATAGTCTGCACTTCGGAATAGTTCGCTGTTACTTTATTACAAGTACAAGGTTAGCCAACCTTAGTGAAGGATAAAGGAAAAGATTATCCATTTATTTCCCAAACAATGATGAGAATTTGAATGACGTTATAGCGTGAAACAGCCTGTCTCGTGGACCACTAAATAGCATGCTACAGGTGGCGTGTGCCGACCTTGCTTTCAATTGATGCAACAGGCAATTTGTTTATACTCTAATCGAACAATAAATAAGCGTGCATATGAGATGATTCGGATTATCAGTACAAACATTACCTCAAGAGATTCAATTCTATAATACTACCTACTAAAACTATTGCCTGAAAATCAAAAGCGAGCGGTGTCGCCAATCGAAACTTTCCAATGTTACTTTTGTTAAAAGTGAAGGTGATATAATTTACTTAGAAAGCAGGCGTACTTTTTCAGGGAACTTTCGCGAAATAAATAAACTACTTACGCACATAATATAAAATGTGACCTGTAAAACTGTTAATGTGAACGATGGTGATAATAATAAAACATGCTACATGAGAAATAAATTGGAAGAGATGATTACGTGCCCTAACCTAACAGATTTATTGATGACAATGCAAATACCGTACATAGTTTATTAAATTAGTGAAAAGAATCTTAATATTACGTTTTATAGTTAATTGTTTATTCTTGCTTAAAGCACATTAAGCAAGAAGAATCGGTAACGAATCAATTTTTTGCCCCAATTAGCATCGGCACGAATCTAATGATGCAAACTGATAGCGTTCTAATTGTTCTTATTAGCGTATGAAAGCAGACACGTGGTGTCAATCTATTGGCTCAAATGCTAATATTTTTCAATTAAATAAAATAAGAAATATTCTTTTCGCACATCAGCAGCTTTTGGGCGCAAACCGCCAAAGTAGACCGTCTAAAATAAACCAGCTGCCAGAGTAAGTGCCTATATAATATTTCGCATCTAGGCATGCGGGCTGGCCGCGTCAGCCGGCAACATTCCCGGGCGCCGCCACCGTCCGCATTTCGCTGAGCCCGGGCCCACTCGAATTTACTACTTAATGCACTTTGAACTATATACATAGGTTCACTGCGCTCTCAGCCCCTCCCAACTCGACGCCAATTGACACATTTCGTACAGAAAAAAAACCTGTTACCTATGTTGCGAAGTGTTTTTCTTTTTTTTATTAAACTCAATATTAAATGTAGGTACATATTTTATTATTAGAATAAGTCTGTTTACGTGCAATGTATATGCATTTATTATATGAATGTTTCGAGGACAGTTGTTATCTATGAACATACAAAAGTATAAATTCAAATGAGTCATTGGTGGTTTTGATCTGAAACACCGCTTGAGTTTGTACCATACTGCACTTGCACAATTAAGATAGAGTCCAGTGGATTTACGAGGTAAGATAAACGCTTGATGGGGCCACGAGTGCGGCTGCTAACTATTTTAAACTTTCCTAGAAAGATTTCTTATGTACAGGTAGAGGAATATTTATATCATGTTAGTAGATTTTATGACAGAACTTGCTGAAAAAAATTGTTTCAAATCCAACTTTGTACTGGGGGTTTACTCCCTTCTTCCGCCCGACATCCATCCATTACTATCAAATAAGTAATACTCAACCAAATCTAAAAACAATGTCAAGTATGAAGCTTCATTCAAAAAAAGGAGGAGGTTCTCAATTCGTCTGTATGTTTTTTTTTGTATGTATGTTACGCGATAACTCCGCCATTTGGAACCGACATTGATGATTCTGTTTTTTTTTTTGTTGGAACGAGGGTACCTCAGAAGTGGTCCCATTTGATTAAATATTCCACTCTAAGGGTGGTAAACTAGGGGATGAATGACTTTTGAGAACGGTTTTTTAACCGGAGGTTAGGTTAGGTTATTTGACAGTTATTGTTTCGGATAGATGTCGGACGGAGAGCGGGAGTAGACCCCCAGGTTTTAGAACATCTTTTTTTTTTTGTAAATTGATGACGCACGAAAATAGTAAACGTAATTAAAATCTATGATTTATTGGCGTCGGAGTTATTCTACAAAAAAGAGAGCAGTATTTATTTATGCATATCTATTCTTGTGTAAAGTTTTCCGTATCATAACCGCGCTTACACGCGGACTGAGCTCGGAATTAATGTGATCTCGGACGAGAAATAATCTATCGACGAGTTAAAAGAAGCTGATATGATAAACATTGGCTGGTAGAGAACTTTTGCCTACTAATTTATTAGAAACAATTTGCATTAATATTAAATTTTGTAAGTTACAGTTCTTTTACGTCATTCTTTTAAGTATGTGTGTTAATCAGTTCGTAAGTCGTGCTGTAAATGTGTGCGTCTTTGTTCTGTCACGTAAGTGTATAATCACACGTAGTACGTATGTACAGTAACAAATACATACAAGGTTAAGTTTAGATACGGCAAGTAAACTTCATTGACAATCCATACAAACTAACCATTGAATATCTTTTATATGCTTCACAAATTTAGTAAGTCAAGGAATACTTTCATGAGGTTTACTTTCAGATACGTGTTTTATTATAATGCGTTTTATAGT